CGTAAAAGACACGACACAGCAGATTAAATTTTAGTTGCTGATCATCATCGACAGCGTTTTTTTTGAAAAAAGGTCCTTACCTCGACAGTAAAAACCACTTTGTGTCCAGCGCCCGTTGTCACATGTGGATGAAGATGGCCCGTTCAGTGTGTAGCCTGGACTACATTTGTAGTAGCAGGTTCGACCATGTAAAGGCTTTGTTTTGCAGATTTCCGGGCTAATGTCACCATTGTCAGGGAGAGACTGAGGGGAGCATTCACGTACTGAAAAACGAAAGGTAAATTCAATCTGTTATTGTTTAATGATTTTGTGTTCTAGGAAAGGGAGCTGACGTTCAAGAAACGACAAATGTGTTTTCAAAATTTTACGAAATGACATCGAGATTTTTTTGACAAAAACAGTTAGAAACGCAAGGCGCCAAGCTTACACTTATATACATCGTCAATTTGGGAATCATTTCGGGGGCTGTAGATGTCTTCTTTTACCTTGACAGTTCGGCGTGGATCGTGGGCTCCAGTTGCCGTCATCACCACAACGAGAGAATGAAGGTCCATTTAGATGATAACCGTTATTACACGTCACAGAACACGTTGTCCCAGACTGAACTTGAGATTGACCCCTACAAAGGTTTGATAATTTTCCGTTGCTAGGAGCTGGCCAGCTACTTGTGGGACAAGTGATTCCTATTAAAAAAGGGCAAATATCTATTACAAGCATACTTTAATTATATAGTTCAGTCATTTTTTTATGTTTCTACATACCTCTATTTCCTCTACAATATCACCCAGGGGAAGTGGGGTGGTAATTTTTTTCAGATTTCTTTGGAATGAGGACACTTCTGTTACACCTTTTCAAGTACATTTTTACATCATCGTTGGGGCTAAGAAAGATAGGAACATGCTCAGCCTGTGGTTCAGTCCATAAGATCGTGCTACACCAGTTATTGAGAAACAACCGTAAGGATTGGATTAAATGTATACATGTGTTTACACTTTGTTCCTTCGGTTCATCGTCATCTCCTCAAACACAAGGAAAAAGTTGTGGAGACCCATTTTTACAACATGAAATTTAATAGTTTCCCTCGCAGCCGCTCGGGTCGGAGTCACGCAACCTTCCCCGCCCTAACTTTTTTAAAAGCCCCAAAACACGACGTGATCGACAAAATTATTGGAGAAGGTTATGGCTACAACTGAATGGACTGGTAAAAAAATATTACCAAACAGAGCAACAATAAAAGTAAATCATACACTTACGGACACAACGATGACTGTTCCACCACGCAGGCTTATAACCACGATAGCACCTGCAAGTGTAGCCTGTAGAGTCACGGTTTATGCAGCGCTGTGCACAACCCCCATTGTTATATTCGCACTCATTACAGTCGATCTCTTCTGTGTCACTTCCACTGCAAGGATTTCCCCGGTTGGCAGGGGATGGATCGTTACAGTATCTTTTCCTGGTTCTGACGCCACCTGAGCATGACGTCAAACTCCAAGAGGATGGCTCCCATGATCCCCAATGGCCATGTCTAGGGGCTAACATGAAAATAAAAAAGAAAACTAAATGACCTCAACTTAAGCTGTGTACCCAACCAATCCTCCTACCCCCCCCCCAAAACAAAGCCATATCAAAACACCTACAAACGAAAAAAAAAACGAAAAATATAAGATTACTAAGAAAAGAAAAAAACAATAAGTTAAAAAAAGTAAGAAATAAAAAAACACAAAAAATCATAAAAGAATATAAATTGTTTTTTTCCCCCTCTTCAACTTCCCCTCTCTTTGTGTCCCCCCCCCCCCAGGATATTCCCCCTGTGGGGGGGGGGGGGATGTTTAACAATTCTTTTCCGGGTTTCGCCCCCCCCCGGGAAAAATCAAAAAACCAAAAGGGGGGGCCCCCTAAACCCCCAAGGCCCATTTTGGGGGGAAAAAAAAAAAAAAAAAAAAAAAAAAAAAACACCCCACCTAACGGTGTCCCCCCCCCCCCCCCCCCCCAAAAAAAAAAATGAGTGAGTTCAGTTCCCCATGTGGGAAGAAAAAAGTCAGAGCTTTCGGTGAGACCATGTTATGATTAAATCCCAACTCATAAATTGAATTTCAATAATACATTATACATGTGTCATCGAAACGTTTTCAAATCACGACTGGCAAATAGATTTCCTGCGGTTTCAATGTACACGATCCAATCACTTGTGAGGTTAAAGTTCCTTAGGGACATATGGTTAGTAGTTTTTGTTCTCCTTAGGGAGTAAGGTCGAGTAAGGTTGGTTTGACGACATGGCACGTGCCACTTTGTCGCCCATTTGGACAACGCGCTGGAGTTGGAATATGAAACAATAGCCTTCCATGAACAAATAGAAATAGCAGAGATGCACATGGAGATAGTACGGGCGGGATTGAAAAGTACTTAGACAAATGTTCAGTGAAAAATATTGTGAGAAAAAATGTTCACAAATCAGTCGAGCTACAAACTATGAAACTGAACTGATCTTTTATTTACA